AGGGTGGAAGGATCGCCGGAGCCCAGCAGGTCGAGGCTGTGGTGGCTGGGAGTGGCCACTGCACTCCAGTCTGGGCGACAGAGTAAGACTCCAACTCAAAAACAAAACAAAACATAAAAGATAGCATAATAAGCCAAGAATAAAATCACTGAACATCCATGTACACAGAAGAAGGTCCTATTTTTAAGCTTAAGACCCAACCCCTTGTTTCAGTGGGGTCAAAGCAGGAGGCAACAAAACCCCTGGCAGTCACAGATCCATTGTCCAGGAAGGAGAAATAGCACCATTTCTCTGGAGAACACAGCTTTTCCTGTCTGTAAGGTCTGCGAGAAATTTCCCCTGGATATCTTCATGAAGAAGACAGTGTGAGATTTATTGGACAATATACTCTACAAAATCCCCCCACAATAAATACAAAGAGGTTTTGTCCTGCTCCTTATCAGCGTGTCACCGTTGCACGCTAAGGCATGATGCCAATGTCCAGCTGTGGAAAAGTCATCCGACAAGGGGCCAGAGCTGTGTGTCACATCTGCCTGGTGGCCGCCATCCCAACGTGCGGCATGAAACCCATCCGTTTCCAACAAGCTTTTAATCTCCCTCTCAGACTCCCAGCGTCCCAATTCCCCCGTTAAAAATACAGCCCTAATTTTGAAAACTCGAATCCAGCTGTTACTACTTTTAAGGGCTGTTGTCCGTCGCAAGTCGGTGTGACATCAGTGTGACACCACATGCCTTCCACGTTCATTCATCATTTGCGAATCTGACCCAGCCACTGGGTTTTATTTTTCTCCCTGTTGATCGGGAGGGTTGCAGATGCCAAAAGCAATCCATCTATGAAGCAAATCAATGTGAACAGTCATCGGGGGAAAGAGCTAACCCTGCAGCTATCTGCTATTTTTTTGAAATAGCAGCTGAGCTTGTCTGGGAACTAATGGCCAGAGTACTCATGCGCTAAAGGGCCTATCTCCCCTCAGCTTTTATTTTTTATTTTTATTTATTTTTTATTATAACGACATGGGGTACAATTCAGGGTTAGGTATACATGTTAGGGTCTGGACGGACCAGGTGAGGGTGGAGAGGCACAGGGCAGGGAGGGGCGCAGCACTGCCGGGGCTGGCAACCCGGTGGTGCGCGCCGGCAATCCAGAGATCCGAGTAGATTGCACAGAATTGCCACGCACAAAGAGGTGAGAAAAGAAAAGATTTATTTAAGAAAAGTTCGCCCCCCACAGACAGGGAGTGCGCCTACACTCTGGGTGAGTGTGGCCTCGTAGCCCCCAGAGTCCTGGAGATGTTGCACGTGACTGCCGTGACTGCGTGACTTCCTTGTCCACCACCTGTGGATGTCTTGGAGAAACTGTGACACAGAGACCCACTAATTTCCGCCCACATCATCACAGCCCCTGGAGAAGGGCATGACAAGGATTCTGATGCTCCTGCACCTTCCTGAACGACATTCCTAAGACCTAAGGAGGGTGCACCTCCCCTTGTCTCCTAGGCATTCCCAGTGGGTGGCTTCGGGCGGTCCTTGGCTTCCCTGTAGATAGCGCCTGATTTACTGGAAGATCGAATCCCCACCTGCTCCCCCTCTGAGCGGTCATAACTTTTGTAATGACAAGTTTCACGACTTTTACAATCCTTGCCCAATGCATGATGTCTTAGGCCTTGTAAATTCCCTTGACTCTAGGCAAGCTTGATTGCCACTATGAGATACCTTTGATACGTGGAAGTCTGTTTCTGAAAAGACAGTCGGTAAAGTTAATTATACCTAAAGTGTGCATTTCTCCAAAAGCACAGTTTCTATTTTCTCATCATTGTGTCAGGGTTTAAGAACAAGATGAAAAATGGCTTCCCACTCTCAGTCTGTTCTTTCAATACAAACATTGATGCTGCAGGCACCCTTGTGGATAAGGTGTGTCCCTCCCTCCCCTGGCAGTTTCCCCTAACTACCATCCCACCCTCCTCCCCTGACAGTTTCCCACTACTGCCCTCAGTGTTTAAAACGTCTTCCTACTCCAGGTCAGCACTGCCGATGGTCTCCAAGCTGCAGGAACAGCTCGAGGCTGGGCAGTGGTCCTGCTCTGTCCACCGTGGGACCAGGGGACTCAGGTGTCTCTGGGCTTTTGTCTCCATGCTGTGGCTGCATTGATCTTCCATAAGCACTGGACTCCCTAGTACTTACCACCTACCATCGATATCTCTCCAGAGGATGCAAAATGCAATGTCTCTGTGTCCTTGGTGTGTGCAACATAGCTCATCGCGCCTTTAAAGATTTCCTCCTGGCTTCTGCTAACAGTGTTTGCTTGCTTCCTGCAGCTCTGCTCATCACACAGCTAAATAAACCTGTTTGATGTTGCCATTCTCAGGAGTCCAACCTGCAAACACACTGAACTCAGGCATTTAGGTGAGCTGACATCAAGGAACCACAAGAAAAACAACTCAATAACCAGGAAGAAGTTTTGGATGCACACATATCTCCTTGTCAAACTAAAATATATAAATATATTTTAGGAAATTTGAACATACCCACAGTGGTGAAATATGCCTCTCTCCCTGCATTTGCAAATTTTCCTGGGTATAACATTCCTATTTTAAAATGATAGCAAAACAGATCCAAGAAACAAATGACTTTGAAAATCCCATTTCATGGAAGCTCGCTGTGTGCGTTTAAACTTTTTTCCTCCTGAAAATTATTGCACACAACATGAAAAATGTCAACACAGGAAGCAAAATAAAAGTAATGGATGGTCTTTAAAAAAAAACAGAGGGATAAAACTGTTCATGAAATACTGTACCCGAATGACTAATGTTAATATTTAGATAAAATTATTCCCTGTAGGCAAGAAAATAAGCAAGATACCTACAGAGTAATACATAAACTAGTAGCAGGGGAAATAAAGTTAGGAAAGTCAGTAATATTTCTAGATCATTTTAGAAAGTTGGCAGAGAGAATAACCAACAGTAAATTAAAGTCCGTTAATACTGCATAGTAACAAAAGATCTCAGATTACTGTTGATTTTTCCAGTGTACCCACACACACACATAAAAATAGTGGTTTGTTGTTGTTCTTAGACTGTATTTTTTATTATTTTTATTTCCTGTATTACTTTGCAGACATCTCAGTTCTTTTTTTTAATTATTATAAAGATGTGGAGTACAGTTCAGGGTTAGGTATACAAACGTTGATGATGCAGGTGCCTTGTTGATGAGGGGTGCCCCTCCCTCCCCTGGCGGTTTCCCTCAACTGCCAATCCCCTGACAGTTTCTCACTCCCCTGACAGTTTCTCACTACTGCCAATCCCTTTCTAATAGTATTATAATTGTTAAAGGTCCGCTTATGAGCGACCACATATGATACTCTGTTCTTTGTTTCTGTGACAGATCACTGAGTATGATTGACTCCAAATCCGTCCAAGTGGCTGCAAAGTCCATATGTTTGTCCTTCTTGATGGCTGTATGATATTCCATTGTGTATATGTACCACGTTTTTTAAATCCAGTCCAGCTTCAGTGGGCAGCACGATTGGTTCCATGTTTTTGCTATTGTGAATAGAACTGCAACAGACATGCGTGTGCAGGTATCTTTTTGGTAGAATGATTTGGAAGTCTCAGTTCTCAATCTGTCACTCTCTCTGTCCGACATACATAGCCATCCAACCTTCCTTCTAGATTTCTGTTTATAATTTAACAGTGTTTGTGAAGTTTCCTAAATGCAGAGCCCTTTAGTTGAAGCCTTTACCATTAAACAATCCAGATGCTGAACCCTTCTTTCTTGTTTTCCCTCATATTTGCCTCTCTGCATTCCAGAACAGCAAATGTGTCTCACCGTGATTGCATTTTCGTTGAAACCACGTTGTTAGAACTGTGTTCAGTACGTGAGAGTTACAGTACAGTCTAGAAATTCATGATTAAGTCGACAAAATAATAAACCGGAGCTAATCTGTAGATCCTTGCCTGGAGAAAGGTAAAGCTCAAGCTTCCCGTTAAAAAACAGGAGGGATTTGGGTGTGGGAAACAAGGGAGACTGTGCTGAACAGAAGGGTGCTGTGTAAACTACTTAGCTGCACAGGGGAAATTTGGACCCTGGAGGGGTGGCTGGCAGCGAGAGGGGGCACAAGCGATTTCTCTTTGCTTATGAAGGATGGTCATAAAAGCCTTACGCTGACAAAGTCCGGTGCCAGCTCTGGAAGGTGTTGTCTCTGACATGCCCTCTTTAGTTCCTCTGGGAAAGGGCAGGGCCATTTACCCACTGGATGCATCCACATAAGAAGAAACAGTTCCTGAGAAGAGGGCACATGACCAAGCCACTCCAGGGGAGCCCTGGCCGCAATTGCAGTGTTCAGCAACGCAACGTTTGGCGCCTCTTGCCATGCTAAATCGCATTGACTACCCAACCCTTTCAATGCTCAGAGAGCCCTTCTGGAACTCATCAGCATCTCCATCTACCACCGCTGAGTCTTTTTCATCCTAATTAAGGGCTTCCAATTCTTAATTGCCTAAATCTCCCGGGGAAGTCTCCATACACAAATCACAGATTGATTTGTTTGTGGTGGGACAAAATTACTGTTTTCCTCCTAGTTTTAAACTCGCCTCTAAAGGCCTATAAGAATCTATGATTGGGGTCATTCTTTATGTAAAGCAGTGGCATCTTACAGGAGGGAAGATTCTGAATGACATCTGTAGGCTCACCGTAGGTGCAGGACACCAAGTTTTACCACCGAGCTCCAAGAACAGAATAAAGAGAGGAATAAGGATTTTGAGAAAAGCCCATTTTCTACTTCTAAGAAGTGAGGATGATCATTAACTCTTTCTTTATTTTTGTTTTATTTTTTTATATTAGAAAATATAGTTTATTTAAAAGTAAACTAGAGAGAAAGAGAAAGAAAGAGGAGATTCACCTTCCCAAGGCAGGGAAGGGGGCCAAAGACAGGAAACATGGTGACAGCTGTAGCTCAAAGAGCACATGGACACACCAGAGTCTAGTAAGGCTATGGTGGCAATGGCATTGGCAATGGCCTAGCAATGGCTCCACTCCTCTTTCTTTAAAATCGAACCCAGAATCCTTCATATTTTTGTCAGTGGCCACAGAGTATGAAGAATAGATAGCTTGGAAAATCAGTTGTTCCGAGGGCACTTTCTAGATCCTCGTGGCCAGAAAACTGTCTTCCTTAAACTCAGAACGATGACTTCTCCTGCTTTGTCAACAATAAATAGGTGCCTCCATACCGGCATAGCTATAAGTCTGTAGAAGTGGCTCTTACAAAGAATACTTCATCAGTTTTTCTAAGATTTTTCCAGCTAGCCAATATCAAGGGCATTTGCATTCTCACTTCCAATGGGTAGTAAAACATGAGACTATTATTATTATTATTATTATTTAGAAAGCAGGATTTGTTGAGAGGTCAGAAGCGCTCCACAGTGGGAGGGGACCCAAAGGGGTTGCCCAAGACTATTGTTTTAAATTCTGGGCACTGAGCCGGGCTCAGTGGCTCAGCCTGTAATCTTACGCCTTTGGGAGGCTGAGGTGAGTGAATTGCCTGAGCCCGCGGGTTCGAGACCCGCCTGGGCAGGCGAGACCTCATCTCTACAATAAATCAAAAATTAGCCGGGTGTGGTAGCGCGCCTGTAGTTCCACCTCTTTGGAAGGCTGAGGCGGAAGAATCGCTGGAGCCCAGCAGGTCGAGGCTGTGGTGGCCGGGAGCGACAGAGTGAGACTCCAACTCAAAAAAAAAAAATAATTCTGGGCACCATTCTAGAAATTAGGAATTGGGAATAATTCTTTGAGGAGGGACGTCTAAGTATCGTAGAAGTTATTTGGATATCAGCTACATAGCCCAGTAGCTATTTCTAGTTGAAATAGTAAGAAACTGAGACAGGAATACTGCTTGGGGGAGGGGGAGGGAGTCCCAGGAGAATGAAAAAATACCAGGCAGCAGTTAAGAAATCACAGGACTCGCAAGAAAAGGACTTATCAGAGGCTTTGGAACCTTGTTACAAGATTTATTCTTTGCCCCCAGTTTAATAGTTTAATCCAACAAGGTTAAACTATTAAATCCAGTGTAGTCAATGCCCAAGCAACCCCCAAACTCATATACCTTCACTGTAATACCTCAGTATGCTAAATGACACACCCACCATTGCCATGATGCTTCAGGCAAACATGGACAGAAAAGGGGAGGGCACCCAATTCTGGGGAAATCCCACCTTGTTCCTTGTTCCACCCCTAATATGACTATCTCACCCCTTGGTTGAAGATGGCTATAGAAAGAAACCCCGAATTCCCTCCCTTCTTGAGTGTGTTCTTCTGTTTTACAATAAAACGCTTTCATTTTTGCTTTCTCTTCTGCTTTCATTTTATTCTGACTCATCCTTGAGTTATTTCTTGCGACAGTGTCAAGAATCTGAGTATTGGTCTGAGGCTGAGAGTCTTATCTGCCTCAGGAGACCGCCCAAGGCCACTGGTGTCAAAGTCATATGCCAGCTTCCACTAGAGTTGGCCTAGCTGGGGGCTGATTTTCACATCCTGCCGTTTTGAGAGGTAGCAAGTTAAAAGAAAAGATTGGCCCTAAGGTGCTCAGAAATGACAACTGATCTCAGCTGCCTGCGTGATAACTTCAGTCAGGGTCCCCGTATTTTAGTACTAGATGTGCTTAACTTGCACGCAATTATCATATGATCCAATGGTCCCAATGACCTTTTATTCATTTTTCCTTCTCTGTCTCTGCTAATGGTCAACTGATTAAAACATGACGAACGCAGAGCCTCCCCGCAATAAATCTCCCCTGCTGAATCCAGCTTCCTGGCTTCTGCTTTGGTTTTTCATCCAGAAGTGTCTGTGACTCAGATCGTCTCCCACCAAGGCTGCCCGTTCTGTTGCATGATCAGGGCACTGGATGTGCCCAGATCCCAACGGTCTTTCTCTGCCCTCAACATTCCTGTCTCATCGGCATGAAAAACATCCAATGTAGTCAATGCCACTTTAATTATAAGCTTGCTTCCACCGGATTAGAATCAAAATAAGCATGCTTCAGACAAAAATTAGCTCTGAAAAGCACAATTAGATTAGAACTTCTGGGACAGGAGTCCATTTTTATTTCACAATTATGTGATTTTCTTTTCTGATTCTCATTTTAATATTCTCATTTTCCCATCCCTGACCTACACCGCCATTCAACTCCATGCGTTAGTTCTCAAGTAATTCCATTGCCTTTGTACTTGACTTTCTGGTATGACTTTGGGTTTATCACCTTTTCCCATTTCAGGGCACCCCCAGTTCTGGACACAGAGCTGAGCTTTGAGGAGAAGCCATAATGGTAGAGGTTAGTAAAGAGTTATGAACATGGCTATGGAGTCAGACTTGGTTTCAAATTCTGACTCTAGCTCTGATCAACCATGTAACCTGCACACTTCTAAGCTCCCATTTCTTCAATCACAGAGTAGGAAGAAATAAACACTTATTTCACAGGGTGATTTTAGGGACCAACGAGCTAATACAGGTAATGCCTTCAGCAAAGGGCCTGGCAAACGCAGTGACACCACCTAACAAATAATGCTTACCTTCGTGGGCAAGAAGATGCTTACCAGAGCTGTGAGGCCCTGGGCAAATCTCTCTGCGATTTGTTGGCTCTTTTGCAAAATGGGGATAAAAACACCAGTGTCACCGGCGTCATTTCTTGTATTAACCAATGGGCTCTGTTGATTAATACAAGCTTCTTCCCAAGATGGGTCCCATCTGGATTCGTTTACGTAGGTTAAAATGACCACTGCACATCTTTCTCTTAATACCCCGTCGTGGGAAAGAAATGTGACCCTCGTCCTATCGAGGTTTCCAGTGGCAGTTATTTCTGTTCCCTCGTGGCCATAAATAGCACCTTCTATTCAAAACAGACTTTGTACTCCAGGCAAGTTTCTCTAGGACTAGAATAGGAAGCGTTAGGCACAAAGTGTTCTCTGCTTTTTATTCCTTCTACAGCTTCCGAGGACAGTGGGAAGGCGGCCAGTGCAGCCTAGGTCGAGGCTGACACCAGATTCCAGAAGCCACAGCCGGCTCCTGATGAGGATATTGGAGAACCAAAGGCCATTTTTAGATGTTTCCAAAAATGGGATTCCTTTCCAGTCAGAGATAAAAATACTGTCTAGGAACCAGCTTCATTATAGCAGGATATATTAAAGAAAGAGTGCGAGAGTTAATCTGATGTGTCAATTTAACTGTGTTAAGAGATGCCCACCTAGCTGGTAAAACATTATTTCTGGCTGGGCTCGGTGGCTCAGCTTGTCATCCCAGCACTTTGGGAGACTGAGGCGTGTGGATGGCCTGAGCCTGTGGGTTCGAGACCAACTCAGGCAACTTGGCGAGACCTCGTTTCTACAATAAATCAAAAAAGATTAGCCTGGTATGGTGGAGCGCACCTGTGGTTCTGGCTACTTGGAAGGCTGAGGCGGAAGGATTGCGGGAGTCCAGAGGATTGAGGCTGCAGTGGTTGGGAGTGTCTCACTGCACTCCAACCTGGGCGATGGGGAGAGACTCTGACTCAACTTCAAAAACCCACAAAAAACATTATAATTTATTTCTGTGTGTGTCTGTGAGGGTGTTTCTGAGAGAGATTTGCATTTGGATCAGTAGACTGAGTTTCAGATCTGTCCTCGCCAATGTGGGCAGCGTCATCTAATCTGTTGAATGTCCAGATAGAACAAAAAGGCAGAGAAAGGGCGGATTTCCTCACTGAAGCTGGGACATCCATCTTTCCCTGCTCTGAGATATAGGCCCTAGCCCCTGGTTCTTGGGCCTTCAAACTCTGGGACTTAACCAGCGACACCCATTCATTCTCAGGCTTCTTGGTTCTCCAGATGGCAGATGACATACCACAGGACTTCTTGGTCTCCATAATCATGTAAGGGAAGTCCTGCCATCAATCAATCCATCGATCTATTCTATTGATCTGTCCATTCTACTTATCCTGTTTCTCTGGAAAAACCCAACAAGTACAGAGAGTGAGCTACTTATCATTAGCAAAAGGATCTTGCAACAGCTCATATCATTGTCCCTAATTCTTTGATGCTGCTCTCTGTTGTGGCTGATGGCAAATTCTACGACCCGTCACTTGCAGGTGGAATGAAACAACCATGAGATTTGGTGACTTTCTTCTAAAAGCTGGCAGATGGGGAAGTGGCCAGGCTTATGCCTCAAATAAACCGTCTCAAAATTCTAGGCTGGGGGTAGGGGATTTTATTTTGATCTTTGGAGGGTAGGCGATTTTTAAAGGAAAATAATGCAATGAGGAGTATCTGGGAGTGGCATTGATACTTCTTGAAGGAGCAGATCTCGCTTTGATAGTTACCTTGAATTGTCCTCCACCAGGAGAGTCAGCAGATGCTGTCTGACTGCGGCCAGGTTATAGATTAATTGTCTTTAGTTGACCTCTGAACAGTGAGGAATTCTGCCATGTGGTCTTCATACTCTGTTATTCTAAAGTCAATCTCTGGAATATCTTCTGGAATTTCTCAAGCAAGTACACAATTAGATTATAAAGAAAAAAAATCTTTAAAGTATAGGCTAGGCCGGACTCGGTGACTCAGCCTGTCATCCCAGCACTTTGGGAGGCCGAGGCCAGTGGATTGCCTGAGCCCACAGGTTCGAGACCAGCCAGGACAACTTGGTGAGACCTCATCTCTACAACAAATCAAAAATTAGCTGGGTGTGGTGGTGCGTGCCTGTAGTTTCAGCTATTTGGAAGGCTGAGGCGGAAGGATTGCAGATTTGGTCATGTGGCTTGATCTAGCCAGTGACATGTGAGCAGTATGCCACTTCCAAACAGAATCTGTAAGAGCCAGTGGTGATTCTTTGTGCTTAGAAATTTCTTTACAAAAAAAAATCTCTCTAATGATTCTCTTATGTGGGTCAGAAGTCCCTGATGGACGGGACTTGTCTTTTCCTGACAAGGCTGCAAAAATTAAGCATAGCATGTCTAGCATTTCACCTTATAATTTGGTTTTTAGTCAACACAAACATGCACGCGCACGCACACACACACACACACACACACACACACACACACACACACACACCCCTCACATATATTTGTATTTTCTAGACTGTTAAGTAAATTCTCTGCCTTTTGTTATCTTCTGTGAGATAATTTAACTTCTTAATGTAGTTGGAAAATGTAGTGCAAATGATAGTGTAGTAAATGAAAGAACTTCATCAACTTCTAATTAGAAATTGAATCACTATGTGGGTGGCATAATAAAAGAGGTTGTTTTTAGTAATCTACAACAGAAATTGGTTCAAGGAAGCCTTTATCAGAGGGATAAGACTCACAAGTTCTAATTAAACGCATTTTTAAAATGTTTCCTTAACTTCTGGACCGGCACTGCCCAGTGGAATGTCCTGTGATGATGGAAGAATTCTATACTCTGTCATCTAATATGGTGGCCACTAGCCACATGTGGCCATCGTGTACTTGAAATGTGGCCAGTACAACTGTGAAGATGATTCAATCAAATTGAATTAATTTATCTTTAAATATTTGCATAACCACACATGGCTAGGAGCTACAGAATTAGCCAGTGCATCTTAGATCCTGCCTCCAAAGAGTGTTTCCCTAATAATCGAAGCACTCTTTATGTTACTATATTTGACACTAAAAAGCTTATATATATATATATATATATATATATATATATATATATGAGCATATAAGGTGCTTAATAGTATATATATGTTTGTATATACACATACATACACACACATATCTATATCTATCCAGTTGTCTCTTAATTTACACAAGTATCAGACAACCTTACCCTTTTTTGTTCAGGTAACCATGATATCGTAGATCCGAGGAAGAACTCCATATTCTGTTCCAGATCCATCCAGGTGCTTCCCGTGAAGACCTAATCTAGCTACAGGAAGAAAGTCTTACAATAAAACATTTCCATAAGATAATCCTGATTTGCAAAAGAATAGTACCACACTCTAGAATCATAAGTCAAGGACAGTCTTATTTAATCCACTCATTGATCTAGGAAGAACCACTCTCGGATTATCCTGACAGCTTCCAATATTGCACCCACAAATCTCTACACTTTATCTCCTCATCTTTATACTGGAAATGAGACTCCCAAATTCTTCAGCCTGATTCTCTTTGTCCCTTGTCTTAAATTAAAACGGGACCATACTTTTATCTTGCTGTATAATTAAAGGAGTCTGTGTACCTCATTTTCACAGGCCTCCACAACAAAGATGTGATATTCTGGGATCTACTGTAATTGTAAGAACATGGGACTTGGAAAATAATAAATTTGGGTTTTGAAGACAAAATCATTTGGGAAGGCTGGAGGCGGGTGTATTACTAAGGACACATGGACGATGTCTGTCTTTACTTCTGTGGATATGGCCTTCCTGGGGGACTTTTTCAAGGAGCAATGGCCAGCAAAATCCTTACCAAGACAGGCCAGATGGGTCCTTCCTCTGAGAGATTTCTTTATCCTTGGTTGATTAACGAAGACGTTTAGTCTAGTCTCAGTGTGGGTGTGAGGTGTTCTCATCCACTTAATTACAGGACAACGGGAAGCCCCAATCCTACTTCCTGTTGTCTGTGTGAGAATCAGTTCATCTACAGAACTCAGCAGAGCAACTAACTAATATCACGCCCTCCATAAATGCTTATTGATGTTATTTTTACTGAGTTTTAAAGCCAAAATGTAATTTTATTCAAAAACCAAAAAAGCTTCTAAGATGTCTAAGATCTTTTGGAATAAAGAAAGCAAAGGGCTATTCAACAGAGAAAAAGCTATATATCCAGTATACTGACTCAAACGGCAGCCCCAAATGCAAGGCTTTTGCTTTCTAGTACAAAATAAAAGGCAATAAAATGACTAAGTTAGAGATGAGGTTCCCTGCTATAGATAAGATAGATATGAACAGCCTTGACTTTTATTATTCTGCAAAATAGGAATTTAGTGAATATAAAGCAGGTAAGTGGGGACACTGAGGTTTCCACAGGCTGTTTGTGGTTGCTCACAGGTCAGACTCTGGAATATTTCCCAGATTTCTCCAACTTCCTTCAGTCCAAGTGGGGGGTCATTAGTAAAGCGCGAAGGTACCTGTCCCTCTGAGCAATGGGACCCTCTCTGCAGGCCAGTAGCAGATGAAGGTTCTCATCATCGAATCTCCTCTCCATAAAGGAAGAGGTGTCACCAGGTGAGTGAGCTTGAGTACACAGCGTGACACCCTTGAGTTGGATTTCTTAACTTGGGAAAAACGGAAAAAGTTGGAAAAAGAGAAAGAAAAAAGGAAAAAGTTGGACAGTTTTGAAAGTGTATTAACTCTTTCCAACACAAACCTGAAAGAGACAACAACATTTTCTCAAATGACTGACCAGCATGAGGACATGACTTAAATTTAATTTAAGTTTAACCAATTAAGATTTCAGACATATAGCAAAATAATATTAAAATGTGGAGTATCTATTTTGCGATGTTTAGTGTAAAATGTCTATCTTATATGGGTTATATCTGATATTAAAGACAACACATCAGGACTACTTATTTCTCAAGATATAAATAGAGCAGGAATCAAAGGGAGTGAATTTATCAGGAATAGGTTTTAGATTTCTTGTGTCTTTATTCTCCAGGGAAAACTGTAAAATTTGTGCCACTAAAGTGTCAACTTGATTGCTTGATGGTGGTTCGTTAGCATTTAGAAATTTGCTCTGCGGGATATAGACGTGGAAATTTAAATAATGTTGCAACTTGCCATGAGCACTGGTTTTCACTGTCCATTTCCAAATGAGGACACACGTGAAGGAGAATGGAGAACCTGTTTGGAGTATACACAGTGTCCAGTCAAACCCTCTTCCTTTGATTGATTTTGCAGACACACACCGGTCGAGCTGCGTAGATGGCTTTGTTTTTAAGCTATTGGTCTTTAAAGAAAATGGAAAGTTTCCTTGTCTAGTAGATATTCCTATGGTCTTTAGACACAAAATATCTACACATGCACAGAGATGTGTTTATATTCAACAAACAGAACAGAGATTCATTCCAGGTTGCAGAATCATTTCCTCTAAGAAAACAACGACTCTGCTCATTGCTAATAATATGCAACCCTTCTCCCCTGCCAGATTACACTATCTAGTCCCTTAAAACCCCAGCAAAAGGTCCACTATCCTGTAAGATGAATCTAATTAACTTTTAAGGCATATCAGAACTCTAAAAAAAAAAAAAAAAAAAAGACAAGAGCTCATGCATAATGACAATAGTACTCTTCATAGTAATCTTCAGTGCAGTCATTTACATGGATGCTTTTAATCAAGTAACCTAAACATCATGATGCAAAAGCAGAAATAGAAATTAAATTTAAATCAACATCCTACCCTATAAAAAAAAAGGAGAAACCGATAGGGTGGGGATAAAATCGACAAAGATACTTTTATTTTACCTGTGTAAACATCAGACTGTTTTTCTCTCCAGGGCTGTGTTTCATTCTTTGGAGTGACAGTTCTGATTCTTCAGCTTCCCCATGAAGAAAAGAAAAATTCTCCTGAAGCCGAACTGAATTCATCAGCAAACGCAATTATGTTCATTGGATAAAATGCTAAATGGAAAAAGGCAGGTTTATTTTAAGCCGTCAACAGGCTGTTTTAGTTCATGGTGCACAGTGCAGAAGAGAGGAGTTTGGTTGCTAAGAAAATGGTTGGCAACCTTCCATGAGATCCGTGTGATGTGAAATGCATCTGTTCATTTCCATAGTGAAACAGAAAAAATAAAATAAACAGTACAGGGTATATTTGGTGAGTCACTGTGGAACACAGGGCCAAAATAACTTCGGTGCTATCGACTTATTGCATACAACCTTATTGTTATGACATTAGCCTTCTCTTATAATTAAGAAAATTGTATTTTAATAGTGATATTTTGTGAGACAATTGATGTGCATTCATGGTAGAGAAATCAGAAAATGCAAAATAAATTAAAATCTGCCATCTCACACACATACACACACACACACACATATTACCAATATCTATGATGCCTGGTACCTGCATAGTATGGGCTTAATATTTATTTGCTGAATGAGTTAACATATATTTACTTATAAATATGGGATCATATTGTTCCTACCTTATAACTGCTTTCTTCATTAAAAGATTGATCATAAAAAATTTTCAGTGTTATTAAATATTCTTCTTTAGCATAATTGTAATAGTTTTATTATTATGGGATATACATGCTATCTGGAACTCCAGCAAGACTTCTTCGATAGCCAGGAAGTGAACACAAGCATCTTCCCCATGAGGCTGATGCCGGGATGCTGATAAAATCTGAACATGTTCAATACTTTTTGCTTGGATAATCACACTTGTTTCTCTGGTTATTGAGACAGCAAGTGGAAGCTCAGCTGTCCTGACTGTATGCGGTTCTACCATTTCCACCACCAGATACAGACTGTCACTACAGGTAGACTGATAACCACATGTTGTCCATGTCCAGGAGTATAATGTGGAAAAAAATGGCCAAAAAGAGCACATCGTCGTCATGATTGTTGATGTCAATGACATCTTGAAGATTGCCACTGTGGACAAAGGGGACAGGCAAAAAGAAGAATATTAAGTCACAGTGTGGAAGAATATATTGATTAATGAAGCTCCTGATTATATAATCCAGAGGGCTGAGAAGTTCACACACACAAAAAATGAGAAGCAGGAAAACATGGTTGGTATCTCCTAAAAATTCACTCGAACCCACTGTCTTCTCGAAAGACAAAGTGGAAAATGGGAAAATTCAAAGCAAAAACAATAATGGAAAGCAAAGAGAAGATTCTTGATGATTCGGTCAAATCATCAGCTGGCTGAATAAGAACCGTCCCGGTGAGAAGGAAGAATTTGAGTGTCAGCAGAAAAATTGGAGACTGTCTGCAAGTTCATTATCACAAGCTGTCATCAAGGAGCGGAGGACACATCAGGGAAATGACTTACCAAAGGCAAAGCTTCTCGTCCCAAAGTGCCTCATCGGAAGAGTGTGACCATCAAAAAGGGTGACCATGCCGACCAGAATAAAGCATGCTCTGCAGACCTGTGGCAACGTTTAAATATGTGACCAAGTCAGTTCAGTGGCAGCTTAAAACATATCTAAACTATGAATTAAGCTGTGAATAAATAGATCCAAAATGTAAAACAAGGAGTGTGGCTTCAGGCAAGACAACCATGAATGAATGCGGGAGGCACTCAGCAGACACATTTAATCAGGGCTCAGAATCATACAGGATGATGGGATCATTAGCAAGCAATTTAGAAAAAAAAGTTATACCTCACCTATATCAGTTGTTCATAAATCAGTTAAAATGTAAATGGATGCCAAAGGCTTTTCTAAGCAAACCCCTGATGTAGAAACCTTCAGGAAAAAGCATGATAGCGTTGACTTTAATATAACGATCACCAAAAAAGTTCTACTCTTAATTGCAGTTGAAAGCAAGTGACAGCCGGGCTGGGTGGCTCAGCCTGTAATCCCGCGCCTTGGGAGGCCGAGGTGAGTGGATTGCCTGAGCCCGCGGGTTCAAAGACCCGCCTGGGCAGCGAGACCTCATCTCTACAATAAATCAAAAAATCAGCCGGGCGTGGTAGCACATGCCTGTAATTTCAGCTACTTGGAAGGCTGAGGCGGAAGGATCGCCGGAGCCCCGCAGGTCGAGGCTGTGGTGGCCGGGAGCGGCCGCTGCACTCCAGTCTGGGCGACCGAGTGAGACTCCAACTCAAAAAAAAAAAAGAAAAAGAAAGCAAGTGACATAGTTTGGATATTTGTCTTCTTCAAATCTCGTGTTGAAGTTTGATCCCCAGTTTGGGGGTGTTGTGTCACAGGGTGGATCCCTGGTGAATGGCTTAGTGTTGTTCTCCTAGTACTGTGTTCTCTCTCTGTCACCTTCCTGTTCCCTCTTTTTCCTTTTCTCTCACCATACAATGTCTGCTTCCTTTTTGCCTTCCACTATGACAGGAAGCTGTACATACTTCTTGTACAGTCTGCAGAACCACGAGCCAAACAAACCCCTTTTCTTTCTAAATTACTCAGCCCTGACCATTCCTTTGACAAGAATACATTGAAAAATATGCATGTGACATCAGTGACATAAAAAAAATGTGTTAGACCTTTGTAAGATACAGTTGGACATACAAAAGCTACAAAGGTAAGTCTAGCTATCGTTTACTACATAAACACATTTTATTTTATATTTTGATTTTTCAGTTTTTTGTAGAGATAGGGTCTCGTGATGCTACCCAGGCTGGTTTTGAACTCCTGGCCTCAAGCAGTCTTCATGACTCAGCCTCCCAAAGTGCTGGGATTACAGGGGTGAGCTTTCACTCCTGGCCTCATAAAAAATATTGTAAAGTCTTCATGGAAAAAAATGCTATGAAAGACAAGAAATATGCAGAAGAAGATGTTCATCATATATATGACAGATTAAAAATGATGACAGCAAAAACATGTAACACTTTCTACAAACCTGGCACTGTACAAGACATTTTAGATAGATCAATCCATTTAACCCTCACAAGGATTATAGTACCTACCTCATTAGGTACTATTATCATCCCATTTTACAGAGAGGAAAGTGGAGGCACAGAGAGGTCTCAGCCAGGTCAACACAAGATAGACTTCAGATCCAGGCAATATGGATCTAGGACCTTTGCTCTCAATTATCATGCTATAGTGTGGAAGTTAGGACTGACTCAGTAAAGTAACTCAGCTATAGCCTTCAAAAGCAGAGCATGAGAAAAAGGAAGGAAGGAAGGAAGGAAGGAAGGAAGGAAGGAAGGAAGGAAGGAAGGAAGGAAGGAAGGAAGGAAGGAAGGAAAGAAGGAGATGGAGAAACCAAAAAAGAGAAGACAAAAGAAGGGAAAATTTAATAAAACAGGGATAACATACTCTCTTGGGTGGAAAATTTACATATGGAGAATTGTATAAAAAGATAGTCAACAAAAGATTACCATGGATTTCTTTTTACATCTGTCACTCATCTTTTCTTTATTGTTTGAATACTTTGTCTTTATTCGGTAAAATTTAAAATGCTAGAGCTGTATGCAACATTAGCAATGATGTGCATGATGGCACAGAATACAGCTACTCTCAGATAGTCCAGGCAAGAATGCACTTGGAGCAACTTCTCAAGGTCCGTTTGATGATCTTTAATGAAAAATCAGAATTTGCTATGTTCCTTCAACCCAGGAATTCCACTTGTTTTTCATGGCACTGATGTAAAATGGATCTTTATCCTTCAACACATGAATTTTATTTCTTGCTCATATACAACAAGGCTAAGGTGTATGAAAGTATTCAAGATACAACCGAATTTAAACAACCTCAAGTAATGCTAGCTATCTCTTCCCCTCCCCACCATCCCATTTTCTCTTCTTGGGCACACACTGGCCTACATTTCCCAGCCTTTCTGCAGTTGGATCACATGACTGAGTTCCAGTGCTGAATACCATTTCTGGGACAAGGCTTTAAAGAAGTAGGTGTGTCCCCCCCACGCTTCATTTTTCTTCCACTGACTGAAGGCAGGTGATGAAGATAAAGCCCCGAAGAGAAGGCAAAATGAGCCTGGATCCCTGAGTCACTATGTGGAGAAGAATCATTCACCAAGCAGGAGCAACTGTCTTCGACCGTTAAGTGAGCAAAAAACAAACTTCTGTTTTGTTTGAGCTGTTATTGGAGTCAGCTAAGAGAGAGGTCTGTATGCACAGTCAATTTCTAACTACCAGTCCGTAAATAACCCATTTTGGAGATCAATGAAATAAAAAGCCAGACAAAAAAATTATCTCAGCCTCGGCTGTTCACACTGCTTTCTACGGGGCTCTGCTCAAAAATGCCATCTAACTTTAACTTTGCATATGTCAGTTCAGAAGAACCTTTTTTTAAAAGGTATATAAATGTTTTGCAGAGCTAATTACAAGTGAGCTTTGAGATCTCTGCCGTTTGGATCACAAGTAATGGAAAGCTGAATGTTGTTTTTGAAAAAATAAAAACCACCTACATGTCATTCCCAGAATCAGACACTTGTATGATTTTATAGAATAGGAATCAGAAACAGAAGGAACTTAAGGAAGTTTAGCAGAAGCAAATCACCCAAAGTAGACATCTATTTTTGACTCTGAAATATAGAATTAGCCAACAACTCACAAGACTGTTTTGGTTGTTGTTGTTTTGTTTTGTTTTTTTTTGGAGAGATGAAGTCTTGTTATGCTGCCTAGGCTGGTCTTGAACTCCTGGGCTCAAGTCATCCTCTCGTCTTTGCCTCATAAAGTGCTGGGATTATAGGCATGAACCACCATGCCTGCCCCCACAAAACTTTATTTTATGTATGTATGTGTGTGTATATATTTATTTATTTTGAGTTGGAGTCTCATTTTGTTGCCCAGGCTGGAGTGCAGTGGCACACTCATGGCCATTGCGTCCTTGACCTCTGGGCTTAGGCGATCCTTCTGCCTCAGTCTTCCAAGTAAAAAGCTTTATTTTATAAGACTCTTCCTTGCTATGAAAGACTTAAACCTGAGTGTTCTATGACAAAGCAGCTCAAAGAATCTCAGAAGCTGCTACATACATTTTTTATAATCCCC